TCATAGGTGCCTCACTCTGATTCCACTTCCATCAGAAACTCGTCGGCTCCTTCTTTGCCATCCTTCTGAATGCTTCTACTATCTTGGCTACCAAACCGTCAAACTCCCTTGGACTACTTGCGGATGAAGCACCTTTCTGCTTCGAGGATTTCTCTCCCCTTTTTTCTGCCATGAACTCGAACTGTGAATTATCCTCAGAGCCTGGCGGGCTAGGTCACGTAGGTTGGATCTTATCCCATGGGCAGGGTTAGCTTGGGCCTCTCGTGTTGGGCTTTGTTAGGCCCAATAGATTGAGCCTCATGTTTGGGCGTTGTTAGTTGGGGCTCTTTAAATTGGGCCTAATGTCTGAGCCTTCTAGATGAGTCTCTTCATCTAGGCCTCATCTATGGGCCTTACTGGGCCTAATAGACTGAGATTAGCTAGGTCAAAGGGCTATGAGCTCCTTATTATGCCTAATGAGTTGTGTTAAGCTGTTTGTCGACGGGAATACGTACATTGACGGGAAATAACTGGACTCAGCCAAGCCGTTATTATGCCTCACTTCGACCCGGTTCGAAGTAAGCCGGACGGGTCCCCGGAAGCGGGCCCCGAGTAGTTTTAGTCCGTAGACTATTAGTATTATTATTATCCTCAGATCCGCGAGCATTGGTGGTATCGAAGGCGACCGACTTCTTCCCGATCCGAACGCTTTATCCGCCTCACGCGCGCTCTTCTTGCCTCTTGACTGTCGCCTTGTCCCCCTTCTCCCTTCTCTTTTTCTCGTTCGATTCCGCCCACCAAGAGTGGTGAATAGCTGATCGCGATGGCGACGATCGCGAACTCGCTCGTCTCCGTCAGAGACTCCCGATTCCAAGCGCTCTACGGTGGTCCTCTCGCGTTCTCTCGATTTCGAGAATTTTTATATTTTAGGGTTTCTTTTTTTCGATTTTTTCCCTGATTTTTAAGGGTGGTAATCGAATCGCTGGATCCGCTGGTCTCGGAATTATGTTTTGGAGAGCGATAGATTGATCCTCATGAGCTGAAAATTCATTGTCTTGGGGTTTTCGGGTGCTCTGTGAAATATCGATTTGAGTGGCTCTTCATTACTAGATATGTTGATCTTTTAATTGGGTTGTGATCGATCTTTTACCTTCTTTTCCTTGTAGGCTTTACCTTGAAGCCGTCGTCGGACAAGTCTCTTGTCGTCTGCCCTCCTTCGAGCTTGTCTCTTCGTCCTATTAGCCGAAGGAAAGATGGAATTGCAAGTCACAAGAGACAATTCGTCCTTCGAGCTGCTTATAGGTATGTGAACTACTTGCTCAAAACTGCCAGCTTTGGCTGCTAGTAGTTCCATTGGCGGCATCTGTTGTTTATTCTTGTTGATGATTACAACCTTTTGCTTGAATCCTCAAAGCATTCTCTTTTGTGATTGATAAGTATCTAATCATCAAAGGAATGCTAGGGTTCTTGGATCAATTTTTTCGCTAGATTATTTCAATTTGTGTATCTGTATATGTGATGACGTGGTGAACTGTAGGGTGGGATGCCTTCTGTGTAAACACACACACTTGGTCTACGTCTATTATCTCGCATTCTTGCAATATAATCATTGGTTAACTAAATTTCACCATACTAAGGATCCATGATTTTATACTGAACGAAGACTGAAGCTAGTTATGCTTTTTGGAGTTTCTTTTCTGACATATGCTAATATTAGCAACAGTGTTGAGGTTTTCCTATTCCTTACCAAAATTTATAACATAGTAAGGGAATCAATCAGAAGATTTATAATTGGAATCGACCAGTTTGAACTGTGGTTTTTCTTCTCTTTCATGATCTACTAAAAGATGGGATATCAGAATGAGTTGGCCACTGCCAACTTGTGGCTTGTGAATGGTAACTCAGTTGAGGAGGATAGTCACATGCAGATTTAAATCGTAAAGGTTGTTTTACACATGTAGTTTCAAGTGCGCATTCACTTGTGCAAGAGAATGTCATTATAGCTCTATTTGGTTTATGATCAAGGTTATGTCATTATGTTTATGATGCTTGTGGTCCTGAAATGTGAAACAATTTTCATGGGTTGGATTCAAGGTTTCAGAATCATGATCGGGCTTGGGGAAATAACAAATGAAACTTCTTTTTTATTTGTAAATATGTTCTTGTCTGATTGGTGGTATCCTTATCCTTGCCTGGTTTCATGCAAATGCAATTCAGGAGTGGTGGAAGGCCAAACAGTGCAAGCATCTTCGTTGGGGGCTTTGTGCTGGGAGGAATTGTGGTTGGGGCACTTGCTTGTGTATATGCACCTCAGGTACACAAATGATATCTTTCTTTACCTTACCCTTTTTAATATGTTCCTTCTACCTTATGTTTGCTCAGTATCTATCTTAATTGCTGTCTCATGGGTAGAACTGTGGTGAACTTGTGCTAGCATGAATGGAACCTTACTCACCATATATTTGCTTAATGGTTTCAAGTGGCAAATGTCTGTCAATGTTCACCTCATCTTTTAAGATGAAGCTGAACTAATTCTTCATGCAGTAAGCAGTAGAATGGAAAACCTATAACAACTAATTTTTGGCTCGAATCAAAGAATGCTTAACATTGCATCTGCTGTGTGTGGGACGGCATGTGCAAGTGTCTGTGGCTTCTCCAGTTAGGCCTCTGGTATAGTTTAATGCTATACCAGCTCTTATTAAAAATTATGTAACATATGGTACCCCAAGTGGAAATGTACATTTTCAGGATTAAGCAAATTCTTGAAGACATTGACAAACTATTGTCCATGATTATGCTGTTCCTATATTCTTTCTAATGACCAGCATTGTTTCAGATCAGCAAAGCTCTGACTGAGACTGACAAAAAAGAACTGATGAGGAGGTTGCCAAAATTCATCTATGATGAAGAGAAAGCTTTGGAGGTAAGTCTTGATGATTATGGTATTAACATCTCTACTCAAGAACAGGTTACGACAAACACTTTTATCTCTTCATCATGCTACTTTGGTGAACTTCTGCATCATTCATTTTCTTACTTGATGTCTTTTCTCGGCTTTGCTAAAAGTATTATTCTAGTTATCCAGTCCTAATACAGTAGCACACTGCTCCATATGCCAGTGGATCAAGTGGTGAGTTTAGCTTTCAACAAACTTGACCTGTATTTTTTTGGACATATTGTTGCTACTCGTGTGTGTAATCATTGCAGTTCAAAATTTATAGAAGTGCACCTGTTGGCACTCTCATCTTTCTATTAGTGTTATTTGTGTACCATTTTTAGCACACTCTGATTAGTTATTCTTCCTTATTGGATTGATGCAGACTGAAACGGATTGGTCTTCTCTAGAATGAATACATAACAGAATTCAGTAAAGATTTTAGAAAAGGGTAAGGGAACAAATAGATATATGGAGAAACGGGAGAATTGAGGCCATTCACCAAGCTTCTTTGTTGATTGCAGCTCAATCAATCAGCAAAATACCCCTCTATTACAAATATTTTAACCATCCTAAAATCCTAATTTCCTCATTTATTTGGTCTTAGTACAAGAACCTTGTTTTTTCAATATAAATGTTATGATGTATCTGGCCACGTTTCTTGATTGTCAGTCAGTTATTGGTCAACTCTAAAACATCCAATAAAGATAATCAAAAGAATCCCTATAAATAATATTGGAAGATAGAAAAGTTGAACTTAGTTTGTTATACTTCAAACTGAGATCTATTTTGTTTACAGGAACCAGATCTCATATAAGCCATAACTAATGCATCGATGGAAAAACTTAACCAGGATAGTTTGCATGACTTTGTAACTAGTCAAGGCACATCATCTTCACGTGCATGACTTGGCAACTAGACATTGAATACGTGATCAGGAGCCATGTAATGGAAATATATGCTTATGCATTCGAGATTGATCTGTTATACACTCACAGGCCTTATAGCTGATGTATTTTGGATTTCACGGTCAAACATTGGTTTATCTCTCACATTTATGAGATTTGGATGGAAGAGAGATTTTATTGCTGATACTTAATGCACAATCTAGTGTCTTCTTTGGTACTCTTTTAAATGTTAGGTTTCATGACTTACCCAATGGTCTTCTTATGTCAATTTTCTGTTAGCTATGCAAATAAGAAAGCCAGGTTTGTCAGGGGGACAAAAAAAAACAATATTTCTTTTCTTTGTTGATTTTGTTTGATCTGCACTAACAATCCACCACATGGTGATAACAGAAAACTAGGAAGATACTGACCGAGAAGATTGCGCAACTCAACGCTGCAATTGATGATGTTTCTTCTCAACTCCGAGCAGATGATGAGCCTAATGGCGTGGCTGTGGCACAGGATGAGATGGAAGCTGCAACATAAGATCAAATCAGGGGCAACGCCTCTGTCCTACCTTAAGAGAGAGAGAATTTATCATCTGTTAGAATTTGGGACCACAGTTCTTTGTTACAAAAGCATTAATAAGCTTATTATGAGATCCAAGCATATATTTCCTGATCATTAGTGTCGGGGATTGCTTTTCTTTTCTCAGATTCCTCGCTTGAAGGGGAGATGGACTTGTCTTAGAGCTTTTGCATTGAACTGAACAGAGATGAAAGATAGTCTCGCATTGACCTGCATATAGATCCTTGACAGGAAATCCATTTGCAGCTGCTTGCGATGCAAACTGCCTATAGCTCCAAATGTCTCACAAGAGCGTGCCGTTCCTGAACACATTCCGGGTAAAGTAAATATGTGATACCTTATTACTTTACCACCAAGACGTTTTATATGGAATCTACCACCGAGAGCAGGCGAATGGTAATGGTGCCAAATTGGTATCTATCATCATTTCCAAAAGCGAGAGAGAAAGAACACAAAAAGAGGAGCCATTGACATCGAACAGTTGATGTAGATGGATAATGATCTCCTGCAAAACAGAAGACAATCCTTCACGCCCAACAATATGCGAACTTACTCGAGATATTAGAAAGCAACTTCAAAGTAGTATGCCCATGTTATGTTTTTGTAATAATCGAAAGTTTCAAATATATCAAAGATTACATCAGATTTTTCTTAGTAAATATTTGTATCGTAAAAATGTTATTTCCTCATATTAGAATTGATTCCTAGAGCAAAAGATAAAAAGGATTTTCAATAATTGACTGAACTCATCATAGTTCCTACTTCGGAAACAACTTCCTGAAGAATCTTTGGTTGTGGTTTGTTTGTTGTCTATAACTCTCCATCGTACATCTTAGAGGACCTGCAAGAAATACAGCCGAAAATCAATTTAATAACTTCAATATAAGCAATATGCTGAATTTGCAAATCAGGAATGTGCTCAAAGAATGTAGTATGGTAAAAATTGTCTAAAGCAGCATGAAAATATCACCATCGCCAGAGTTCTAAGAAAATGAAGATTCTAAACGCCATCATCTGTAACATGCCACAAGATATTTGGACTTATTCTACTACTAATCAGAAATGTATTTTTAAACAAACCATAGGCACTATGTTTGATCAAGACGCTTATCCATCTAGTTAAATCTATTGAAAAAGAAGCATGTGACAGGATCAATGCCTCAAATAATATGGATCAAGTTCTCGAAAAGAAGTATTCAAAGTGTCTTTAGGATGGATAGTCCTTTGTGTACTAAACCATAGCCCAAATTCGGTGTGGAACTATTCGGGCATATCATATTCTTCTATAAAGCCTAGCTCTTTGTAAATGCCACAAAGAAGATCCATGATGAATCGATTCCCCACAAGCAATCAAGCACTCACAGGTGATAATTTACTAAAGATATAGTAAATGGTTCTTTTTTATGTAATTGCAAAAGATCACCGGGACCAACAACCACGAATATTTTGAGAGATGTCAATGGCACTTATCCCGAAGTACCTGGAGTAGCTGCAGTGCTCGGTAAGATCTTGACAAAGGGCTTTGCTTACTCCCCCAGATTCTGCAGATCCTCTTTTTATCCACTCAGCAAGCTGCATATCACAAATAGATCAATATTGGACATAGCAAAGTATAATGAATGATTTTGCCAGAGTTTAACCATGAATCTTGTAGGAGAGTGATCTAGGTCAAGCAGTGACTATACATTATATACCCTAGGAGTCCAAGGACTTTGCAGATGGTAATATGTTTCATGCCTATGTTTCCAAAATTAGATGTTAGGATGGCACTGATGGAGAGCACAAACTACAATCCATTCATATAAACTATGATTTCATGGGTCAAACCATATTTGCTACAAATTAACAAATAAACCATGGAAGAAGGAATAATGAAAGATAAAAAAAAAAAAGGACGTCAGCGCACCTGATCCTCTGTTTCCTCCAACAACCTACATAGAGAAGGAAATTATGTCATTTTACACAAGGAATCACCATGAAGGTCAACCTTAGCAAGCATAAACTACATAATGAATAGAATCTGACAATTCACTTGTAATGCAAAATGTATGGTAGTGCAAAATCCAGACAGAGATTTAGCATAATCAATTAGCAAGGCAGGCTACTTGAATAAAATACAAGGATGGGGTTATCATGCTTAGTTATATAATGCAAAGAATACATTACTAAATGATCTCAGAAGACAAGATAATAAGCAAATGGGACTGTAGTGCCAAGTAGGACCATAAAACATAATTTACCTTCCACAGAAGGAGGATAAGTCTTTTGAGTATGCACGTGCTTCTTGCTTATCTGCCCAAAAAACAAGAGAAAAAAAAATAGAATATCTTTAGAGTAAAACAAATGATTCTTATCATAACAAAAACAATCACAGGAGAATGCAAACAAAAACAAAGGAATTACCATCAATGCCTAGCATCTCTTGGCATATGAGGTTTTAATTTTAAGAACCCGGACTCCTGTAGGTAGATGGTCTCATGCCAAGTATAAAATTATTACTTCATTTCATTACATATACTATTTTGTAATTATTTATATTGCGATGCGATGCTGATGAAAAAATGCATTGGTACACAATCTATAAAAGTTCCTGGATCACCGATACAAAATGCTGACGTCTTCAGTAAAAGAAATTGGAACTTGCCTTTAGCTTTCAATGGCTATTTTAAAGTGAGGTTATCCATCTTCAGCAACTCAATTGACACAGAAAAATGGCCAATCTCTTACTTTTAGATAGATCAAATTTTAGTTACTTACCGCCTTCAATGCTGTTCCAATCTCTTACTTTTATCCATGCTTGTTCACCAGAATCCAACTGCAAAGAAGCAACAATGCTCAGCAGCCAGAAACTTGATTTAAATGTTTCCACTCGTACGGCAATCCCAAAGTCTATATCTAGTTTCAAAATTCATAATAAGCCCATTTCAAACCATAACTACTGAGAGACAGAAGTGAAAATTTAGACTTAGTAGAACAACTGAAGGTGTAAAAAAGCAAAAGCCTACCTTCTCCAGAGTATAATCCTGCATTTTTTCACAAAGACCATCAAGAAGTTCAACCACTCTTAACTCGCTCACTCTGTTTAAAAGAATATATTTTAAAAACATTGTTAGCTAGGAACTAAGTATTCAGTTTAGTCTCATGAAACAACAGCCATGCAAGCAATGAGTCCAACATACTTAAATATTCATGCATTAGCCAAACAAGAAGAAAATTACTGCTTAAGGAAAAGCAAATCTGGTCTCAGAATACTGAAACAGACCACAAATTATCTCTTTAAAGTTTTACTCTGAATGATATGTAAAGCAAAAAAAATCAATTATTATGCAAGGAATAGATTATAAATTATTAAGAAAGATAATAATTACATAGAAAGTTAGCAATAAAAATGCAAAAAAGGAGGCTTATTTCATGCTATTACTATCAGTTTATAGACAGAAATACTATATTAAATAAGCTTCTTTAGGAACTAAAAATACTATTAAAGAAGCACACAGGTTGCCATGAAAATCTCAAAGAAGCACATACTTATAGATGCCTGATTATGTATATTTCAATGGTACATCACACTCAAAAGAGGCAAAACTCAAGCATTCAAGAAAAGAAATGAGAATATTATCTAAGAAAAGAGGAAGAAAAATTGCTTATCGTTTTCCTTGTTATCACCAAGATTTCAAATTTCGATCATACCAATTAGTAGTTTACCAGTCCAACCAAACTCCAGTATCAGAATATACAGCTCAATCTGGTACAATGCCCTTCATATTTTACATCTTACTATTTATTCAGTGATATTGAGTGGTACAGGTTGGCATACCTTTTGGTATACCAATACCGTACAGATTCAGTGGGTCACCATAACCAGTGTTGGACCAAGATTTACGTTCTCTGTTAGTGCTTCATGTGGCTCAATTTTGTTGAAATGCTTACTTAGGGATCTGCACAGGTACACATGTAAATTAGTTCTATGGCTTAAGTGACAAGCCTGTGACCAGGAAGGGTACCGTTCTTTCATTATCATGATATTTACAAATGCATCTTCCTTCTTTCTAGCAACTTACATTAAGAAGTCTTGTCTCCCACTCAATACCCTCTTCTTTTGATTATAGTTGAACAATTACTAAAATTAAACTTCAGCTACTCCAACAACTAAGTATATTTCAAGCACAGAGTGTTCATTCTATCAATTGCACCAGGTTGATAATTGCCAGTGTAATTCTGCTCAAACATTTCATGGAACCTTAAAAACTTAGATTTTGGCTCCATGGATGACTTCAATTACAAGATAAGGGATTGTATTATGAATAGCAACATCTGAAAATACTTGTGGAATAGAAATTAGGTACATAGCATTAACAAACAGAATCTCATGCTCATCAGTAACATGTATGAAAGGACAAATTTAGTTCAATATCTCAATTCTGCTCCTCAATCTCTCTTAATACTACAAATCCTGCAGCATAATTAGATAAATAGGCTCTATAGTGTATGTGCATGCTTAAAAATGATACCTGTAATCAATTACTTTTCCTTCACGTTGACCTCTAGAATCCAAACGATGACGCATATCTAGATGGTTTCTAGGTTTCTCCTGTAGAAAATATCAATTAGAAAATTCACACACACTGTAAAATAAGTCTGTGAAAAACTCAGAAAATGTCATGGGAAATTTAACATAACATGGCATTCAAACAGATAGCACATAAATCTAACGTTCACTTATGGTAGTTTCTTTTACATTCTAGAGAAATTGTACAGTGTTATCTAGCTAAAAAGTTAGAATCATAAGAGAATATACATTTTCTGCCCAACAAGCAAGTGGCTTTTTTGGCTTCATGGAAAACTTTCCCTCTAATTAAACTGCCTAAGGAAGCAATTTAGCACCAGCATTTGAGATGATTATGCTAGGTTTTGATCAAACAATTCTAATGAAATCTTCCATAGAGCTTTCTCAACCTACACTTGCTATAGCCATTGTCATGAGTACGATTATAATAATAATGACCATGACAGTTGTTGATGGAAAAGACTGCAAGCAAAAGGCAACATCAGATGTGTCATGTATATTGTATCATAGCTGCTAACAATGACCAACATGCTTGGTTTTAGCTCAACTGAAAGTAAAAAACTTCAGGGAGGGACAACCTGATAGCAAATTACCTATATAAAATGACTATTTGATGCACAATCATGAGAACAGATGTGAGTAGCCTCCTTATATAAATTGCATATTCATGCAAAATAGTAAGAACAGATGACGTACTCCTAATATCTCAGTTGACAAGAGAAAAGCTGAAGCAAAGATTAATAAGACACTGAACGAAACCTTCCAACTTAACCATGTTATCTCTATCATTATATAACATTTTTACCCACCTCGTCAATTTAATTAGAACTTCCACTTACAAATTAGGGGTACTGGTTGTGGTATTACATGAAAAAAAATCAGATAACTGCCTATTTAAATTTTAATTTCATTCTAACAAGGACAACTGAAAAGCATACAATTGAAAATGTTAAAATCTTAGAAGTACAAGTGCTTCAAATAACTGCATTCTTGAACATGATGGAGTAAGATCGGTGAGCCAAACTTTCATGTATACACATTCATAAAGTAAATTGGATGAAGAATAAGACTTCTAAAGTTGACTGTAAGACACTTACATTAGAAAGTCCAATCTCTATCTCAGCCTGCAAATCATTTACAGATATATCAGAAATCAGAAAGAGAGAAGTAGCAGGTATTAAGATATTTGGCTATTCATAATTACATGATTCTGTTTACAAAGACAATTAGCAGCCTAAAAAGCATCCAAAATAATAGAAATCATCAATACCAAAAGAGTTTTAAATTAGAAAAGGTAACACCAGGAAGAAAGCAGGCCCTGGGATCATGCTAAGGTTGCTCCTCCATGACCTAGCTGTCAAAGGCTCGAGTCACCATAATAACCTCTCTACCTTTAGGAGTAAGGCTACACACATTGGGCCTTCTTAATCGCTGCATTGGCAGGAACCTCATCTACTAGGCCATCTTTTCCTAACAGTAACTACAGGGCCAAGGATAAAAGCATATTTCACATAGCATAATTTCAAAATGAGTGCTAGCACTTACAAAGGTGATCAATGAGAAGTAATCAGTATTTGGCAATGATCAACAATTGTTCTGTTGTCTTTTTAGACTAGCATGCACCATGAGTTTTGAGCACTGAATGCTTTAGAACCCATCAAGTTCAGATTTAACCATAGGAGCAACCTTGTTCAAACTGAAAATGTAGGATATTGTATTTCAATATACGACAAGAGTTAATAGGGATTAGGGGTGTCAATCCCTGACCTGAATCCACAAACCCACATAAATACATAGGGATTGGATAAATGAGTTTAGTTATCAAACAAAGAGACAGGGGTATGTTTGTCACACAGACCGGAAATGACTCCAGCTAGCATGGAGATTTTCGTCACAGTTCAGGTAGTATAAGATGGGCAGAGAATATGGAAGAAGAAAACTTGATGAGAGTTCTAGAATCGGCATCATATGCTTCAAAGGTTATCTAGTTTCTTAAAAGTGGGTGAGCTTAACATTGACAAAGCTCAAACTTTCCATCACATATTCCTAATAGATTGTCTTTCTCCAATCCAAGGACCTATTACTCCAATCGTGGACAACATCCTATTATCATTTCTATCATCTCCATTACCCCATTGCCTTGTAACAGCCTTCCCTCTTTAATTTCTTCTCACATTATATCGTATTTCTTGTAAAGTTTAGTCAGGCTAGCTGAAATGTGATCCAAAATCAGATAGGTTGACTAGTCATAAAGCTTTCCTAACTGGATCAGAATGAGACAGGTTCAAATTAAGAAGATTTTTGTTAACCTGAAGTCAACCCAACTCAACCCCAAATTATCAGTCTAGTAACGATCATAAATAAGTAAGGTAAATTAGAATAGAACATGATTTCTCAGCAAGGAGAGAAGTCAGCATGAGACGGATAGACTTTCTTCATAATACTGAAAAAGTGGTGGTAATTAAAAACTTTTAAAATCAAATGACCCAAAAAAACCGACGAAATCAGTCTGTGGCCTGACGTAACTACATGATAGCATTAAAGGTAAATGGTTGATATGTCAGTAAATTATCTTATAGCTTTGATTTCCCATTTGCAGCTCATTCAGGTTTGCAGGAAGCTTTCCGAACTTCTAATGCTAGTGTGACCTTAAGCTTTCCACGCTAAAGGAGTGGCTTTAGCCACTTTAAGTTTCTTGATTCTGCGAGTACTTCTGGGGATAACTAATATCCAGCACTATGGTCAGTCCTCCCTATTCAATAATAGTGGGTTTACGACTCAGTCAAAATACATTACAAGTCCAACCTCCTCGAAGAGATCACTTATCTGCCCTTTCCACACGCTATATTCCCTTCTTCGGTCCAATCTGAGTAGCGCAATCTCAACAGCTTGGCAATCTATTGGTTAGGTTATTTTGCAATATCGAAACTGTAATCAAACTACGACGCATACATCATCATTCGACTTGCAACTCGGCAGTGATGTACGGAAGGTATAGGATCCCAAATGAGCAGCTACAGATTTAGAGACCATCGGACAGGGCAAGGCAAGGACGGAATAAGCCATGGAAAGGAAAGGAACGGGAGACGAGTACCGCGACGGCGTTGCAAGCGGCGCATTTGTCGTCGATCGAAGCGACGGGGGCGAAGATCGCCAGAATCGCGGCGAGCCGGATCGCGGATCCAAGGATCGCCCCTCCGCTCCTCCTCTTCGTCTCCATGGAGCTCCGCGATCACTTGATGTTCGGAAACGGGCGTGGGGTGATCCAGAGCTGTCTTTTATAGTAGACGGAGGCCCAGATTCAACATCCGATTAAGGCCCATCACGGCCCAAAATGGCTGTGCCTTTGGCAATGCACCCTATTGCTTGTGTGTGTGTTATTTTGAGCAATTTTTACCAATAATAAAAAAAAGAGTAATAGTCTTCGTATCCTTTGGCATACTGATGTATGTTATATTTCTTTTCTAGTTGTAAATATATGTCAATAATTGAAAGATTATTTGTCGTCTCGTATATAATTTTGAAGTTATTTTATTGGTTTGACAGATAGAGAGAGAGAGAAACTAAGTAGCAAATCATGTCAGGAATACTTATTGACTTTATCGCATTTCCTTTGGAGATTGAGATTGGTCTTAAGATCTTGAGTTTTTGGTTCGGTGGTTTTCCTTTAATTTAGTTTTTTTTTTTTTTTACTGAAAATGTAATAGTTAATAACTCTCAATAGTTGATTTAGTTCCTTTTGTTTTTTTGTCCTCCTCTATAAATATAAAAGGGTGATTTTTCTATTTTTCTCCTATATGATGCTTATGTTCTTGTTTTTCTCAAATAATATCATTATTTTTTTGTAATCTTATAAATGTACTTACCCTTTCTCATCATTATCTTCGACCTATCATGATCCTTTTTTATTTATTGTCTCCGCCACACCACGATGATCGATCATTTACCCTCTTCGTCAACGATCATCCTCTTCTACCTCACTTTTTTTTTTTTCTCTCTTCTACTCTTTAGAACAATGAGTGTGAAGGTAGACAATATAAAATTTTTTGAGATGTAAAATATGATAGTAGCATGAAACAACCCGTTTCCATAATGTTAGTTCTATAAATTGGTAAATGAACTATTAAAAATCAACGCTCACTTCTGCTATAAATAATTGGATGATAGGGATGTGGTGCATATTTATCATTTAATTTATAATATAATATTAATAATAAAGTCATAAGTCTCAACTATTTAAGGTTGATTATATTGATCTTTTCATGCTATCCAGAAATCATATGTTCAATTAAATTCAAAGTTCTTAAATATTTTACCTATAGTTTCTATTAATTTTTTTTTAGGTCTTCCACTATCTTTTCTCGTATCATTAATATTAGTTATTTCATCTCTTTTAACTATCGTATCTCAAAGTCTTCTCAGCACATATCCATATTATCTTAAATGATTTTCTTTTAAATTATTCTTTATCGAAGTGATACATAATTATTCATAAATGAAAGTACTTCTTTTCCTATAACTCCACGTATCCATCTTAATATTCTCATATACATAATTTTTTTATATACGATATTTCTCAATTGCCCAACACTCGGATCCATAAAGAATTATTATCTTATAATTATTTTTTTTATTTTTTTTTATTTTAATCATATTTAATAATCACATAAGACTCCTAATGTCCCTTACCATTTTAACTATCATGTTTTTACTCCATAAATAATATTTTTATTGATATCTCAATCTTATTGAATAATTGAACTAAAATACGTAAATTTTTTATTTAAAAGAGACTTTTTATTCATCCAATTTAATTATATTATTTTATCTATTTCTAGAAAACTAAAATCTAAAACCTTTAGTTTCTAATAGTTACCTTTATAACTCAAATTTATAATTAATTTTACTTATACCCTTATTAACAAGATAATATCATCAGCAAATAATATACACCATGAAGATCTATTATGTAAGTGACTAGTAAATTCATCCATTATCAATGTAAAAATATGAAAAAATAATATAGATCCTTAGTGTAATCATATACAAATAGTAGAAAACTCCCTATAATTCTAACACTAGTATTCATATCTTTAATAATATTAATATAGTGGATCTAAAACCCTCCATAATAAATCTTTAAGAACCCAACTATAAGCTTTCTGGAAGTCAAAAAAAAAAATGTAAATCTTTTTTTTTCTCCCTTTATTTTTTCACTAATTATCTTAATAAATGTAATTGATCTTCTAGGCATAAAATCAAATTGATTTCAAATATTTTTATTTGAAGCCTTATCCTATTTTCAATAACTCTTTTCTAAAATATCATAGAATAGCTAATGATTTTAATTCTTCTATAATTTGAACAAATTTATATATCACCCTTATTTTTATAAATTGGCATTAAAAAGACTCTTTCTCCATTTATCATATATTCTTTCAAATCTCATGATTTTATTAAGCTAGTTAACTAAGCTACTCTTATCCCCTAACTTTTTTTAGACCTTAATAAGGTTACTATCAGATCCTAGACTCTTAACTATTTTTATCTTTTTTTAATATTTTTTTTATTTCATTAGCTCTAATTTTATGAATAAATATATAATTATTAAAATTTTTATTATTATTTATCATTAAATCTAATTATTATGTCAAATATTTATTAAATAATTTATAAAAAATAACTTCTTACCTTTTTGTAATCTCATTATCATCAATAAGTATTGTTGATCTTCGGTTTTAATGCATTTAATATTATCTAAATCCTTACATTTTCTTTCTTTGACTTTAGTAATTTGATATATTTATCTTTTTCATAATATTTAGTATCTAATTTATTATAAAAATTATCATGAGATTTATATCGTACCATACTAACTATTTTTTTAGATTCTTTTATATCTTTTTAATTTTTAAATTATATAATTTTATCAATCTTTAAAATATAATTTTTTAGTAAAAAATATTTTTAAATATTCCTCACACCACTACGTATTATCTCCTAAAGTTATACCTCTACATTTAGTTTCACTAAGAATCTTTTTTATTAAGCTCTTAATCTTGTTAGCCATCGTAGTTCAAATAATATTATTATTATCCTCATCTAAGTTTTAAGTTATTTATCTTTTATCTTATTATTAAAATTATTTATGTTATAATATTTAAAATTCTATCATCTAGTCTAGTAATATTTTTTACTATCTTTTTCTTCTTTCATTTTCCAAATATCTAATATTGTTATTATCCTTCGTTGATTCATCAAATTTTTACTAAGTATAACTTTATAATTCTTACAAATAACTTTATCTACCCTTTTTAGTGAGAAAAAAATCTATTTAACTATAATTATGATCACTCTTATAAGTAATTAAATATTCATATCTCTTCTTAAGGTGAGTATTTATAATTATAAAATTATAAAATCTAAAATTATATTATCATATTCATTTCTATTCTCACAACCAAAGCCCTTATATATATTTTTTATATTCACTATATATTTTTCTTATATAACCATTCATATCTTATCCAATTATAATTTTTTTGATTATAGACATTATTTATCATATAAGCTTTTTTATTTTTTATTAAATCATCCAATCCAACTTAGGGGTATGCACATCGTTTAATTCTCAATAGAGGATCTTAATTCCCAATAATAATAATAATAATTATGATAATAATAATAATTATTATTATTATTATATTAATATACATCTCGGAAGAAACAAAGTTAGAAGAATGTTAGCTTCATGGCTTCATGGATTGAGATAGTATATATTGTGGAGATAATTAAGCCAAATTTTCATCACTTAAAGTCACAATATATTGTCACTAATAAATTTCGTCCATGAAAATAAAATCACTAAAAGAATTCTTTTCATCAAACGTCTTACTTTTGGATCCCTAGTTACAGAAGAATTTCAAGGCAAGACTTGTCTTTTTAATCATCTTTTTTTTTGGAATAATTTCTTTTGATTAAGGAACATCAATAAACAAGTGAGTATCAAACATCATTATATTTGATCATTATGCTATTATTTAATTGGGTGATATGTTAGAATAAATCCAATAGTAATAAATCATAATATCTTAATTATTTCGAATCAGCTACATAAATATTTTTTGGTTGAGTTCTCTATGATATACTATTATTAATTCAACTAAAAATTATTATTTTATTTAAATTTTATGAATAAAAGTTTATTTCCAACCATGCATCATTACTCTTGTTTTCTCTTCTTTTTTTTCCTCTCTAATTTTTCATTAATTATTTATTGATAGAGAAATATCATCCATCACCCACGATGGCGCCATAGTCACAGTAAAATGTGTTGGCGAGATCAACGGCTCGGATCATACGGAGGGCTTTCGTGGCCCACCGCCGCGTGTCAAAAAGCATCCCTGCACGGTGTTCCAGTGGCTGCAGCCGAGCCGCCACACAACTTTTAGCTATCGTCAACCGTTCGTGGACCCACGGGTACCCTCACCTAAACAAACCATAACGGCTACGAGGGACGTGAGGGGGCATCTCGTGGCCGGCCCCACTCGATTCTTCCGACGTGGCCGATCGTCCTGCCGACCACGCTACCCGTGTCGCGTCCGCTCCGCGGCACCACTTCGCGCCCCGTGACCTCCAACGGTGAGCACCGGCGCAACCCGTGCGCGCCCTGCCTTCTTATGAAGCCTGTGAAAACCACCGCTCCAAGTTACCACAATCCAGGCGGCCATCAGAGCCGTCCATCGCGCGGTCAGCACGCTTTTGAGTTGCAAAAGGTTCCCTCAACGGGGGATCGCGAGTCCGGTTACAAGGAGAATCTTACGGGCGAGGTCATCGAGCGGATCAGGTGTCCTCGTCAGGTCCCCGACGGTACGGCGCGGCCAATCATAGGCCGGGTATGTGCCGGAAAGCTCGTGGTGGCCCGTCCTGTCACAGGGCGGTGGATGCCACGACATCGTCCTCTCGCTTCACCGCCCTGCCGACCTAACCCAAGCACCGAGACGAGTCATCGGTGACTCGGGTGAGTCGGGCCGGGGCTTGTCGTTTTCCTCCACGCCTTAACGCCCGTTTGAAATCCCCCACGTACCCGCGGGTTGGCCACTTTTCACGGGTGGAGGCGTCTCTCTCACACTTCCCTTCCTCTTTTCGCAAAGGTAAAGTGCAGTGAGGAGGGGTGGTTTCCAGAGGCGGTTTCCAAGGGCAATCTGCGGATTTACACCGTCGTCCCCTGGTGTTGCCA